CCGGCTCTTGGGGGCCGGCCTCGGCGGGGAGATTATGGAGTACGACCTGGCCCGGCTGTGCGTGGCCCACACCGTCGATGGCGGTGGGGGACCCATCTGGAGCATGGCGGTCAACAGCAGCGGCGTGCAGTTGGCGGTGAGTGCAGCCGGGACTGGCTCCGGCACTGGGACGGCTCTTCCACCTCTGGGGAGGGCCTGCCCGCCCCACCGGGGCTGACCACAGGCCTCCCGCAGATCGGCTGTGAGGACGGCTCTGTTAAGCTCTTCCAAGTTGTTCCCGGGGGTATCCAGTTTGAGCGCAACCTGGACAGGCGGAAAGGTGAGCTGGGGAGGACTTGGTGCTGTGGCAGCATCGTCCCTCTGTCCTTCCTTATCTGTTCCAGCTGCGCTGGTCTCAGTGACTGAGGGGCTGTGAGTCCACAGGGTCACGTCTGGAGCTTCCTTCCCCACAGGCCGCATCCTGTGCCTCTCCTGGCACCCGTCGGACACTCACATAGCAGCCGGCTCCATTGACATCCTCCGTGTGTTTGACGTCTGTTCAGGTAACTTGTGGCCCGGGAGGTGTGCCCAGCCTGTCCCCTGTTTTTTGCCCTGGGGACTGTCAGCACCAGCACATCCTGTACTTTGAGAGAATGCCTTTGTCACCGCTAACTGTCCTTCCCCCATCTCAGGCCAAACCGTCCAGAGGATCATGGTGAACTACCATGTACCCAAGGTGAAGCGTGAGTGCATTGTGTGGAGCATCGCCTTCCTCTCGAGTGGCACTGTCGTCACCTCGGACTCCTTTGGGAGGGTGCAGTTCTGGGACTGGGAACGAGGGACGTTGCTGGAGTCCCACACAGTCAGCACCTCGGCTGTCCTCTCACTGTCTGTGTCAGAGGTAGGCGAGCCTCCCCTGAGTCTCCCCAAAGCAGCTGGGGCCCATCTGGGCTCCTGTGTGCTGGGCCAGAGGCACTCAGGCAGGAGCTGCCTGGCTTGCTGCCTTTGGGCTGGCAGGGGCAAGGCTGGGAGGGAGGCTGCTGGTCCCTGCCTGCCTCGCGGTGCTGCCCTCTTGTCCTTCCCAGTTTGCGCCTGCACACCCCAGCCCTATTTCTGTCATCAGAAGGAGGACAGCATCATTGTGGGCACCTCGACTGGGGCCACCTACCAGTTTCAGCTGCTGCCGGTGAAGATGGGCAGCCTCGAGAAGCGCTGGGTGCGGACGAAGCCCTTTCAGCATCACACCCACGATGTGCGAGCCGTGGCACATAGCTCGATGGCTCTCATCTCCGGGGGTAGGACTGGCCGTGGTCACAAGGAGGGCTTTGGTCTCTCCCCCTAGTTCCGGTTCCTCTGACCTCTGCTTGGCTTCCAGGCCTGGATGCCCAGCTGGTGATCCGCCCACTGATGGAGAAGGTGCAGAAGAAGGGCTACGATGCAGTGCTCCGCAAATTCACCTTCCCCCATGTGAGTGCTGCTCTGAGGTGGGGGTCTCATGCCTGACGAGGCAGGCCAGCAGGGCTGGCTCTTCCTGCGGGAGAAAGCTGGTCCTCCCTGCCCCGCTGGGTCCCCTCCCTGGCCCTGGCAGGTCTGGAGCGGGCGAGGGATAAAAGTTGGCAAGCTCGTCTTACTGGTCCTGCTGGGTCTCCGTCTCTGGGCTCCTATCCCATGGGACCCAGTCCTTCTTCTCTCCCACCTTGAAGTCTCTGGCACCCCAGGGCATTTCGGCTTTGGCCCAGCCCTTTCTGCCAGGCTGCGGGTTTGTGACAGTCTGCCCATTTCCGCATGTAGCGACGCCTCGTCTCCTGTGCCAGAAAAGCCCGTCTACTCCTCTTCCAGTTCTCCCAGCACCTGGAGCTCTGGAGACTTGGCTCCACTGACGAGACCGGTGAGTCGCAAGGCCCAGCTCTCCGGTGCAAACCCTATGGCAGAGCCCACGCTGCCTGCAGGATTTTGGGCATGAGCTGTCCTGCGCTTGGGCAGCAGAGGGGTGTTTTAGCACAGGCCCCTTCCTCCCCACAGCCCTGTGCTGGCGTGGTGGCCAGGAACAGGGCCGTGTTTCCCAGCACAGTGTGTGCCTGGGCACGGGCTGCATGGCCAGTGCAAGGCTGCGTTTGTGCTTCCAGCAGAGCTGGGCCAGGACCTGCAGAGTTCAGCCTTGGGGGAGGTTGGGGAAGGGCCTGGGCTCTCCTTTGGGCATTGCTCCCCTGGGATCTCCTGCTGCTCAACAGGATCTGTGTTGTTCCCCCGCTGATGGGGCACGTGGTTTCTTGTCATCCCAGGAAAGGATGGTGAGGTCCTTCCCTTGTGCCGCATGCCTGAGCACCTTGTGCAGCTCAAGAGCAAGGTAGGGCTGAGCTGGGGCCTGGGTCCACCCTGGTGCTTGACCTGCCCCAGGTCGGGGCTTAGCATCCTCTGCTCTCCGTCTGACAGCTGAGCTGTGTGTGCCAGGCTGCCGGGGGATCTCATGGGCCCCACTCAGCCCCTCTGTGTTTCCAGGGTCCAGAGCACATCTACTGCAGCTGTGTCTCACCCTGCGGCAGTTGGGTCGCCTACTCCACAGCCTCCCGCTTCCACCTCTACCAAGTGCAATATGAAGGCGACGGCGTCAGTGTCAAGAAGGTGAGGAGCGCGACGAGTTCCCCCACTGCCAGGGAGGATGGTGGGTGGCTGTGGGGTTCTGGTGGGCTGGCACAACCAGCATTCCTCATGAGCTGACACGCAGAGAGCGTGGGCGACAGTGGTAGGTGGCTGCCAGCGCTGCGTTTTCCCTCTTCAAGGTCCCCAGAGTGCCCAAACTGCTGCTCCCAGCCTACCAGCTCCAATTCTCCGCCGACTCCGACAGCCTCTTCGTCGCTTCGGCTCGAGGCTCTGTCCACGTCCTCCAGCTGCTGGAGTCAGGGGGCTGCAAACACCTGCAAACGTTACAGCCACCCTCAGGTTCGGGCTGGTATGGATCCGGGGGGTTGCTGAGGGTCCCTGGGCTCAGAGTCCCATCCCCGCTGTGGGTGCAGAGGGGTGTACAGGGCCAAGCATATCCCCCCTTTCCTCCTCTGGGGTGTGTGCGTCCTTCCACCCTGGCAGCCTCTGCCCTGTGTTTTTGCCAACCTTGAGCCCTGACGGGGCGGGGGGGAGCTGGGGCAACCAGATCAGCAGGGGCTTCGTGGGTCTGGATGTCCCTTGGGGGTGGGGCTGGGGCTCCTTGGAGGCCTGAGCACCCTTTACAAACCGGTGAGGGTGTTTCCGCAGGGTGCCCCGAGGCTGTTTACCTGCGCCTGAAATGCTTCAAGGGAGGGGCAAGTGTCAGAGAGTGCCGCTGCCCTCCTGCCTTGGGGGGCTGGGTGAGGGTGGGCTCAGTGCATGGGACCCCTCCCCAGAAGAGATAGCTGTGTCCCGGGAGCAGGGCTGGGGGCGGGCCTGTGGGAAGGGGGCGGTCAGAGGTGGCCCCAGTTGCTCCCATCAGCGTGCTGTCCTCCTGCCTTGCAGCATCACTGCACGGTGCCCACATACAGCTGCGCAGTGACAGCCCTCGCCATCCACCCCGTCACCAACAACCTCGTTATCGCCTACTCGGACCAGCAGGTAGGAGCTCTCTGGGTCACAGCCCTCGTGGCCCTGGTCCCTTTCCCACGGCTCTCTCCTTGGCCTCAGGGTTTTCTGGCTGCCACCGCTCGGCTGCGACTCGCGGCCCGACTGGAGCAGGGGCTGCCTGCGCGCTGGCATAGGGGTGATGCTGGAGAGCACCAGACCTCACGAGCCGCCCTGTCTCTCCTCTCCAGCTGTTTGAGTTCAGCATCCCCGAGAAGCAGTACACGGCCTGGAGCCGCATGGTGCAGAACTGTGGGCTGCACAAGGTCTGGCTGGAGAGGGACACACCCATCACCCACATCACCTTCAACCCCAAGAACCCCTCACACATCCTGCTCCATGACATCTACATGTTCTGCGTCCTCGACAAGTCCCTGGTGAGCCTGCGTGCCCGGTCGGGAGGGCTGGCTTTGTGCCCAGGGCATCTCCCTTGCCTGGCCCAGCTGTCCCCGTCCTCGCTGGGAGCGGAGGGGAGGGTTGTGCAGTATCGAGGCGGCGGTGGTGGTCCAGGTGGCAATGACACGTGCCGTGCGCTCTCCTCGCAGCCCTTGCCG